AAAAAAAAAAAAAAAAAAAAACTATTTGTCAAATAAATGCCATTTTGGATCTTTTCTACATATTTTTCCATTATTATCTTCATTTAGCTAATAAATACATTACGTCTTTTCATATTCACTTTTCACTTTTTCTCAAAACATTCATCTCTATTTCATTAAACAGGGTTATATTAACAAAAAAAAAAACATTCTTAATTAACGTGCAACTTCTCAAAACGACATATATTAAAAATAGGAGGTAGTATTATTTATTTTTTTCCTTATGTGATATAATGTAAATTTGGTTATAGATTTTCAAATTCAAACATTTAAAGGAAAAGACCACGAACAAATTTTTTGGTTACATTTCATTTTATCTTAACTTCCATATAATCACAATCCTAAAAAACTAATTAGCATAATATTTTTTTACCCACATTTATATAATCGGATTTCTTAAAATATAAGTAATATAATAATTTAACTATTTAATCATTTGTATAACTTGATTTAACTCATTAACAAACTTGCCAAAATTTTTTGAAATAAAAAAAAATGGATGATTTTTATTGTAAAATAATAAAAAAATAGTTTTACTTGAAAGTCTGGATGATTTCCATTATTTTTTGTACGTTAACAATCATATAGGTTTGATAACATTTCTTAAATAAAAAATATTGTATAAAGAGAAGTGTTTAATAATATATATTTTTCATTGTTTGCATTTATTTTATTTTCATAATAGACGAGATGCAAAATATATAAATAATTATATTTAAAATAAAGTTTAAAAAATGTTTAAAATATGAGCTCATCCGTGCATCGCACGGGATATACACTAGTATGGTGCAAGAAAGTATTAGAGGGTTTGTGTACTATTATTTACGAGTTTTTAATTTTTTATATTTTCGTGTGTATAAGACGTACACGAGCTTTTTTTTTGTGAAAACTAAAAATTTACGACCAAAGATTGTTATATACTTCCAACATCAAAAAAATAGTAAATGGCCATTTTGCAATATTTGGGACCAAATTTACAATGAGGTCAATCATATGAGACTAAATTTACAATTTCTTCTTTTTCAAACTAACAATTAACGGCTGACCATTCGTTAGTTTTGAAGGGGTAGAAACCAAATTTGTAACACAAATTAAAAAGGACAAATTTCACAATAATGTGACTATTTTGCAATAGATCCAATTACACGGGATCAAATTTTGATCAGAAGTAGAGGTGGCAATCACGCGAGCTGGTTCACGGAATACGTTTTCCTTTATAAAAATAATGTGAAAAACATATTTAGTGAATACGTTTTCTAATTAAAATATACAGAAAACGTATTCACGGAATACATACTTTTTATGTTGGTCCAGTATCCTCTTTTTTTATTGTTTTTTATCCAGTTATTATTTTTTTATTAATAAATATATAAATTGCTCCGTAATTTTTCCCATTTCAATGGGTCTCCTCCTCTCCAGCGGAGGGAGCAAGAGAGAATCTTTCACTACAGCCTAAACTCCGATCGGAATGGCTTTAACCATTATGGCCTTTACGGCACTAAGACGGCTCGGCTATATCTAAAGATCGGTTCATTGATCCAATCCAACCCAACACTTCATTGAACAGCTAATATTTTTAATAAATTAAAATAAAAAACTACTCGGACCATCTACCAACCCAAAACCGGCCCGAAACCCACGGATAAATCAAAAACAGAACTAAGACTAGTATCGGTTCAGTTTTACCACGGGCCATTTCCATGACCCGTAGATCCGGGTCGGTTCCGAGCCGATTCCGGGCCGACCCTTGCAACCTTTAAGCAGCAGAAGTATAGGCCAGCGGCGGACACGTATCAGTATGGCGGCGCGAATTCGCGCCAGATGGCGGCCCGCACACCGCTTCACCGTTTACCTTGTCCTCATTCTATCAAAACGAAAATCACTACGATTCGATGCGTCTTTTAGCTCTAATTTTTTCTCCAATGGAGACGACGAGGAGACTGTGGGAGATCGGAGGGAACCTGGGAGAGTCGACCCCCGCGCAGGTCGTCCCTATAACGTTGTTCGTGGCGGTTCTCTGCTTGTGCCTAGTGATCGGACACTTGCTTGAAGAAAACCGATGGGTCAACGAGTCCATCACCGCTCTGTTAATCGTAATTACGCCCCTTTTTTCTTCTCATTTTTTGCGTATTTCGTGAATGATGTTAGAAAGAGGAGTACCGTTTGGGAATTCGGATGGATTTGGCTGGATAAGATATGCTTGCATGATTTACTTCTTCAATGAACATTGCGTAGTTTGAGAGAAAATAGTTTACAAGTATGGGAATGGGACAATTCTGTCGGAATTTGTAACCGCTAGATCAATTATCCCTCACGATTTACATGATGATCTAACGGTTACAAACCCCGACGGAATGGTTCTGTAGGGGCTCTTGTTTTGTCACTATCATTTTATTTGGATAACATCATTAGCTTGAAAAAAAATGATTTTGACAGTATTTAGTTTTTGTGTGAAAATCTAAAAACATTTGTTTGATTAGATGTCAGATTTTCAAATGTCATACTTATGTTGGTTTGAAAAGCATGTGTGAATTTGACATTGACATTTGTGCTGGCAATGAGAATATGTTCGGACTTCGGATATGTTCCCTTCTTTTGCACCATTCGATTTCATTATAATTGAAAATTAAGCACCTTCCCACCTGTGATCATGGTCGGTGAATGATCTCCGCAGCTTCTTTTACTTGTTTTATGTTGCATTTGTATTCGGTGACACTAAACTCGACAAAAGGCATGCCTGGAGGTTTAGGCTGGAATAGTGGAGTGTAATTAAAAAAAGAAAAATCAAATATGAGTGAATCTTCACTAATATTTATTCCGTATCTCATACTACGAATTGTTCTCTTGGTTGTGTACATGTTTGCGATGAGTTGAAGTGAGCCAAGATAGTATTTTTAGGAATTTATGTTGGATTTGGATGAAAGAGCAAGTATTCTAGGCCTTCTGTGACACTTGGACTTGGAATAGAACACTGACCCGTATTGGGATGATGTCTCCTTCTGTCACATGCTTGGGTTGAAATGTTTTAGCTGGGAGCCATGGTAAACTAGATTCCTCAAAGTTGTCTTTTCTTTTGAAGGGATCTCTGACTGGGACGATAGTTCTTCTAGTCAGCAAGGGAAAGAGTTCACACATATTGAGATTTGATGAGGAGCTCTTTTTCATCTATCTCCTTCCGCCGATAATTTTTAATGCAGGGTGAGAATCTAGAGCTGCTTATGTGAGTCTTAGTGCAGTTACAACTATGGTAGTTTCATGTCATGATGTCACTGGAATACTTTTTTTTTTCCAGGTTCCAGGTGAAGAAGAAGCAGTTCTTCCATAATTTCTTTACAATAATGCTGTTTGGAGTGGTTGGAGTTTTTATATCTTCACCCATCATTACAGCCGGTAAAGTATCTCGCATGTCCATTGTAAATTGTTTTCGGTCCTGTGAGATAGTTTTTGTCTGTTACACATACCTACATGTTTTTTTAAGTTGAACAAGGTTTCTAAGTGATGATATTTCTGTATAGGGATCTGGTTGCTGTTTCCCAAGTTGGGTTTTATTGGTTTGAGTCCTCAAGATTATCTTGGTTTGTTTACAAAGACCATGACCGACTACAGTTTCCGCAATTTTTCATGGTGTACCACTCTAACTAACAGTATGTGTCTGCTGGTTTAACACAAGGTATTGGAGCTATATTTTCATCCACAGACACTGTGTGCACTCTGCAGGTTAGGAAAAGAGATATCTCTATGCATAATTTCCTCAAAATTGTATCCGAAGCTCAAAAAATGACTTCTTCAGTCTTAACACAGGTGCTGCATCAAGAAGAAACTCCCTTGTTATACAGCCTTGTTTTTGGGGAGGGAGTAGTGAATGATGCCACAACAGTTGTTCTATTCAATGCAGTTCAAAAGCTCGATGTCAACAGAGTTGATGGCTGGACAGCAGTCAAAGTACTTTTGGATTTTCTGTACTTGTTCTCCACAAGCACTGCTTTAGGAGTTGCCGTGAGTTCGAATATTCAGTAGAGGAGGAATTTATATCAATTTTTGTTGCTTAGGTTTTCGAATATATATTTTATTTTTCTTTCCTAGTTTAAATTCTTAAAAACTCTCTCTCTCTCTCTCTCTCTCTCTCTCTCTCTCTCTCTC